AAAAAGTCTTTCTTTTACATGGTCTTAAATAATTTGTAAAATGATGTTTATTAAACTTCTATATCACTTCGTATATAGTTAAGAATTCCCCAATTCATGGGTTAGCGCATGCATTAATTCTACTTATTGACGTATAGATTCATAAATATACTCATTTACATGTATAATAATGAGACAAATTACAACCCGTGCAACGCACGGGTGGATTACTAGTCTAACTAAAAAGTGTCACTACCATTCAACCCCCCCCCCCCCCCAAGAAGGTGAGTGGGGGGAGGATTTAAAAGAGTCCAAAACGGCACGGGACAGGCCCCGGCTCGTATCAAAAACATCAAAGAAAACCTGCCCGCCGTCCACGAAGCCCAAGGGATCTGAAGCAATGAAGCCCCATCCTCCAAAGAGCTTTGCTCCAGCGGCCCAGTAGCTGCCCAGCAGCATCAAAGCCCATAATTAGGCAGTCCAATAAAAAGTCCAACAAAAACCCCAACCTCCAGGTTACCAGGCTAGTGAAGGCCCAAATCACCTTTCAACCTCAAAGCATTTTCCTGCCCCCCAAGTCAGTGGCCCAGAGAAGCAATCAAATCAAGTAAAAAAAAGGAGAGGCCCAGCTTAGCAGTCCAAAGTCCAAGCAGCAGCAGGAGCGCCGGCCCAGCCCAAACCACTAGCGGGCTAGGGTTAGCCACAGACCATCCCATCAGTCTCCCGCCCTACACCGCTATGCTCCAGCGCCGCAAGAAGGTCCAGTCTGCCCCACTGTAGCCCCCACCCCCACCCCATCCACCCCATCTAGCTCCAGCGTCGGCTAAATAGTCCGGCTCATTGTTATATTGGGGTGATAAAAATGACATTTTTTGTCTTCTTTTATGTAAAGCTAAATGAGCTATGGTTCTGGAGCCGTGAAAACCAAAATTATGCAAGAAACTCCTCCATGAATTCACATAAGATGCAATATGCTCAACTCTTGTGCAGAATATCAAGTATTTGAACAACATGAGCTTTAGTATTTATCTTTCGTGTTGGGCTTTCGGATCTACGGGATTTACCCTCAACATTGGCGCCGTCTGTGGGAAACTTGCAAAAAGTTTAACTTTCAAATCATCCAAAAAACCTCTATTTTTCAAAAATGGTCAGAATCAGTTCCTATCATACAAGCGACGGTTCACGCCGTCACGGGAGGAGTCACACCCCGGGGAGTCAAAACCCTCATGGACAATCCAGTCGAGGATTGTGTCCTCGTTTCGATGGGGATTTTGTGATTCCTGAATCTCTGAGAAGAAATCCTCAGGCCATGAGTGACATGGCCCAGGTCATGCAGCATATGGCGAACGAAGAGGAAGGAGGTTCCAGCTTTACAGGGGAGACCCCACGCACGGAAACAACCACGACGTCATCCCGTTCACATGTCCATCGGGATAATCGACGTAGCGCCCCACCAACGGCGCACCACAGTCCCAGTGACCGAACCCCGGTCGGATCACAAGCTAGAGGACCAACTCCCGTTGGTCATCATTTCCAGTATGCCGAGCGGGAAAATACTAGGGCCCCTCAGCGGCATTGGGACCGGGACTGTACGGATATGAGGGCTCCACCACCGCCCCCTTTGACGGCCCAGGAGGAAGAAATGGCCGAGATGAGGAGGCAAATGAATGAAATGCAGGACCAGATGAACAGGGTACCTGTACAACCTGCCCCAGTTCAGCTGGGAATTACTTCCCCATTTACTAGGGAACTCATGTACGCAGATATCCAAGGGGGTGCCAAGCCCCCGACCGGCCAAATTTATGACGGGGTGGGAGATCCCCACGTACATCTGAGGAGTTACCAAGGGGGACTTATGCTGCTAGGAGCACCCGAGGCCGCCATTTGCCGGTTGTTTTTCAGCACGCTCAGGGGGCCTGCCCAGGAGTGGTTCGGGACACTGCAGCCCTGGTCAACCAACAGTTTTGCCGAGTTATCAGCGTTATTCTTGGCTCAGTTTGCTTCCAGTGCCAATCCCAAATGGCACTTCAGCTATTTGACCAGCGTGAAGCAAAACGCCAAAGAAACCCTCAATCCATTCCTGAAAAGGTGGAGGGATGAAACTTTAACGGTGGGAAACATGACGGATGATTCCGCCATTACCCTATTCACAAATGCTCTCCGAACGGGGAAGTTGTACAAAGAGTTGAAGAAAAATCCGGGTACGGTGTACGCCGAGGTATTAGATAGGGCTCGCAAGCATGCCGCCCTAGAAGAGGAGATAATGATCAGGGATAAGGTCATTACGCCTGCTGCCCCGATCAGAATGGCCGATCGGCTGGGTCCTAGCCCAGCGGCCGCTTTACCTCCCAAACAAGGGAGATTTACACCCCTGGTCCTATCAATAGCGACCATCTATCAGCACGAGAGGGACAATATTCCCATCCCGACTGATTCTGGACAGTTCATGGGAACGGATGACAATGCTTTCTGTAAATATCATAACAGAAAGGGTCATGCCACCAATGCCTGCAGGGCCCTGCAAACAGCCATTGAGGATCTGATCCGAATGGGCCATCTGGGCAAATATGTGAATAAAGATCCAAATGTTATGGGCACGTTGAAACCGGCCAGGAAACCTAATAGCTGGCGCCGGGATGCTCAACGTGACGCCCAGCCTCAAAATGATGTGTATGTTCCTCCCAGGGATGAGCCAGAGGGCTCGGGAGGCCCTGGAAAGAAGCCTCGAATGGAGGTCAAGGTTATATTTGGGGGCGGGGAGACCGGAGATTCGAACGCCGAACGAAAAAGGTTCGAGCGAAGTCTTTATGTGGGATCCGTCTCCGCTCCCCCCAGAAGAAAGGAAGGACAGACCCGATCACGTTCGGGCCAGCTGATTTACCCAACTCTCCAAGCCCACACAGGGATGAACTGGTGGTAAGCATGTGTGATGGAGTATATGGGTCCAAGCCCCCGGACCCACATACTCGGAAGAACAGAAAGCACAAGACAACAGAGTGGCGCCCTCGTCGGCCAAGACGCCCCCGTCGGCCGAAAAGGGGCCAACTCGGATTATGGTCCTGAGTCCAAGGAACCTGGGTGCCCTCGTCGGCCGTGCCCTCGTCGGCCGTGCCCTCGTCAGCCACGCCCTCGTCGGCCACGAAGACCTCACAGAATCGGATTTTATACTTGCTCATTTGTACAGCCCATTAGTGGCTTTGTATTCGGCCCAGTAGCGGTCCAGTTGTAAATGGGCCTCCCAAGCCCAAGGCTTGGGAGCCCAACCATAATTTTCTCTATAAATACTCCCCTTGGGAGTAGTTATAGGGGTGACAAAATCATTCTATTGAAGCATATATTGCACTTCTCTCTCTAGCTCTCACTTCTCTCTAGATATACTCTATCATTTGGTGCTCTCGTTGAGAGCTAGAACAATCAAGTTAGCACCCTTCGTCGCTACCAAGCACAGCTAACCACTGATCATGGGGAGAACTAAGTCAAACCGCAACCTCGTCAGCAAAGCCATCCCTGAGGACCAAGAGCCCAGGGAGCACGATGAGGACGCCACGGCCGACCAGGTCGGCGGAGGGGACCTCTTCCAGGAGGCCTTCAACCTCACGATGGACCTCCGCAACCAACTCAACAGCGGAGTCCCCGACGCCCGCCTCGGCCTGGAAAAGAAACGGGCTGAGAAGACGGACCACGCCCCGGCCCAGCCTATGGCCGCGGCCTCTCCGTCCGTGGATCCACAGGTCCAGGCCGCGATGTCGGTCATCATTGCCAGCCTAGCTCAGAACCCCACCGTCCTCAGCGCACTCTTGCCAAGGACCGGGGGGAACGTCACTCAACCTCCTCAGCACCAACTGTTGGCCGTCCAGACAGGCAACGATGAGGGGGTGGTGCCCCAGGACACGGCGTCGTCCCACTCCCACCCTGCTTCCCCTCCTCGGCCCGGGCAGACCCCAGCGCGTGGAAAAGCCTCTGCCTTTAATAGGCTAGGTGACACGCGCCGTCGTCCGGTTTCGGAGAGGATGGCGGGACGGATTGGTGATCCTCGTCCTGGCTCGCCAAGGGAAAGCTTGGGGTCTGTGTCCCGGACAGCGGACCAGCCCCGCCCGGACAAGGGCAAGGGGAAGTTGCACGAGGATGACGTGCGTCACCAGATCAACGCGGCTCACAACGAGCGCCTGAGGAACCAGCCGGGCGCCGCTGCGGCCGACAGGGACCCCCGGGACGAGGTCATCGCCCAGCTAGAAAGGAGGCTGGCTCAGATGGAGGCCAAGCAGTCGGCCAACATCCCTACGGCCGGCGCCTCCAACGACCCCGGCCTCAACGCGCTCATGAACAAAGTCAGCGCCCTGGAGAGGGAGCTGACCGAAGGGCGGGGTGACCCCATCATCCAGGTCAGGACTAGGACCCCTTTCACCAACAGGGTCCTCTCGGCCCCCATCCCTGAGAAGTACAGGGGGAACGCCATCAAGTCCTACGATGGCCGATCAGACCCCCAGGAGCACTTCAGCCGTTACCAAAACAACATGCTGATGGTGAACGCGTCCGACGAATACCTCTGCCGTTGGTTCCTCTCTACTCTCGAGGGGCCAGCGTACGAGTGGTTCAACGGACTGCCAGAAGGAAGCATTGACTCATGGCAGGATCTCGCCCAGCGCTTCCTCACTCACTTTGCCGGGAGGAATCGCGCCAAGAAGTACTTCACCCACCTCCTCTCCGTCAAGCAGCAGCACGAGGAGACCCTCCGGTCATTCATCGATCGGTGGACGAGGGAGACCGAGGGGGCCGATGAGCGCACCCTCCTCGCCTTGTACCAGGGAGCCCTCCGCAGCTCCCCGTACGCTAGGAGCCTCATCACCGACCCCCCGAGGTCGTACGCCAAGGCGCTCCAGCGCGGAGGTTTGTACGCCGACGCCGACGAGCTCCACAATCACAAGAGAGAAGGGGGCCATCCCCCCAAGAAGACAAATCCTTCGCCGGCCCCGGGTCCGTCCCCGGCCGGCCAGGGTGCCCAGGGCCGTCACGGCTCTGGTGGACAGAGTAAGAAAGACCGCCACTGGCGGCCGAGGTTGGAACGGCCGGGGGTAACCCTCACCCACCCGGTCGGCACCATCCTCGATTATGCCGAGAAGCACGGCCTCATCGAGCAGGCTCCTCGGCCGGCCGAGGAGATCCTCGCCATCCAGCAGGGCAGCACGTACTGCCGGTTCCACAAGAACTCGTCGCACAACACCGACGATTGCATCACATTGAAGAAGGCCATCGAGCGCTTTATTCGCCAGGGGGAACTCTCCCAGTTTGTCAAAGGTGGCCCACGTAAGAACACTTGGGTAAACACCGGCAAACATGGGGGCGAACCCTCTGCGAAGAAGCGGGAGATTGGTAGACTCAGCGACGACGAGGACTTCGAAGAGCCTCCGCCGAAGAAGAATCACATCCACCTCATCGTAGGTGGAAACACTGGGGGGGACTCCGCCACTCAGAGAAAGAAATGGGCCCAATCCCTTTACATTGGGGAGGTGTCCCACGTTCCCCCCCAGCCGAAGAAGCAGCGAACGGAGGCGATCACCTTCACCGACAAGGATCTGCCTCCGGATACGGAATCACACAGGGACGCCCTCGTCATCCGATGTGAGATCGGTGACTCCATCATCCACCGTACTTACATCGATACGGGGAGCTCCGTCAACGTGATGTACCTGGCCACCTTCAAGCAGCTGAAGCTGGACAGAGCTCTGCTGAAGCCGATCAAGACCCCGTTATCCGGCTTCACCGGGGACTCTATCGACGCCGAGGGCACGATAGTCCTCCCCGTGGAAGTCGGTGACGGCCCCCACCATGCCAAAATTGACATGGAGTTCATGGTGGTCAACCTCCAGTGCACCCACAACCTGATCTTGGGCTGGCCAGCGCTGGAGGACTTGGAGGCCATCATCTCCATGAAGCACCTATGCTTGAAGTTCTCCACCAATGACGGCATCGGCTACGCCAGAGGAAATCAGAGGATAGCCAGAGCTTGCTACCTCAAGCTAACGAGGCCGGCCGAAAGGGAAGGACAGCGGATAGACACCATTACGGCCGCCGTCGCCATGGACGAGGAGAGGCCACATGCGGAGCCGGCCGAGGAGGTCGAGGAAATCCCTCTGGATAACTCCCGGCCGGAGCGGGTTCTCAGGGTCGGAAAGCAACTCCCCCAGGACCAACGAGACGCCATCCTCCTCGTCCTACGGTCATACGCCGTTGTCTTCGCGTGGGGCCCGGACGATATGCCAGGCATCAGCCGCCAGGTGATCACTCACCGGCTGACCGTCGATCCGGCCTCCGCGCCGGTCAAACAGAAGCGGCGCTACTTGTCCGCCGACAGGCGGGACTTCGTCAAAGGGGAGGTCGCCATGCTCCTCTCAATCAAACACATCAAAGAGGTGAAGTACCCAACATGGTTGGCCAACGTCGTCCTCGCACAAAAACCGCCGACGTTCAGAATGTGTGTTGACTACACTGACCTGAACAAGGCGTGCCCCATGGACCCGTTCCCTCTCCCCAACATTGATCAGCTGGTGGACGAGACAGCGGGGTGCGAGTTGATGTCGTTCCTCGATGCTTTCAGAGGGTACCACCAAATCTCCATGCATGAGGATGACGCTGAGAAGACGGCATTCATAACCCCAGAGGGAATATTTTGCTACCTCGTCATGGCCTTCGGACTCTAAAACTCCGGCGCCACCTACACTAGGATGGTGGCCAAGATCTTCAGAGCGGTCCTTGGCCGGACGATGGAGGCGTACGTCGACGACATGATCGTCAAGAGCAGGCAGGCCACCTCCCACGCCGACGACCTCCGGGAAATCTTTGAAATAATGAAGGAGTTCAGGCTCCGCCTCAACCCCAAGAAATGCGCCTTCAGCGTCCAGGGTGGCAAGTTCCTCGGCTACATGGTCAGCCAGAGAGGCATCGAGATGAACCCGAAGAAGACGCAGGCTATCATAAACATGGAGCCGCCCCGCAACGTCAAGGAGGTACAGCGACTGACGGGGCGCCTGGCGGCCCTAAACCGGTTCCTCTCCAGGTCAGCCGAGAGGGCACTCCCCTTCTTCCAGATCATGCGTAAGGCAAACAGCTTCAAGTGGACAACGGAGTGCCAGGGAGCATTCGACGAATTGAAGAGGTACCTGTCGTCCCCACCCGTGCTCTCCAAGCCCAAAGCCGGCGAAACCCTCTTCTTGTACTTAGGGGTGAGCACGTCGGCCATCAGCTCCGTGCTCATCCGTGAGGACGAAGGGGTGCAGAAGGCCATCTTCTACATCAGCAAGACACTTAGGGAGGCCGAGCTCAGGTACTCCCCCATTGAGAAGACGGTGCTGGCCATCGTCCACACAGTGAAGAAGCTGGGGCACTATTTCCAAGCCCACACCATCCATGTGCTGACCCAGCGGCCTCTTGGCGCGCTCATGAGGAGCCCCACTAGCTCCTCGAGGATGGTGAAATGGGCGATCCTCCTCAGCCAGTTTCAGATTGAGATCAAGCCAAGGCCATCCATCAAAGGGCAAGCCTTGGCCGACTTCGTCATTGAATGCACAGCAAGGGAGACGGCCGTCGCCAACCCCGGGCCGGAGCCGGACGATACGTGGACCCTGTTCACTGACGGCTCGTCGGCCACGAAATCGTGTGGAGGCGGCGTCGTCCTCATATCCCCTGAAGGGTTCAGAGCTTACTATGCCATCCACTTCAACTTCAGGGTATCCAACAACGAAGCCGAGTATGAGGCCCTCCTCAGCGGTCTCAGACTCGTCGCCGGCCTCAAGGCCAAGCACCTCAAAATCAAGTGCGATTCCAAACTGGTAGTGGGCCAGGTGGAGGGATCGTACGAAGCTAAGGAAGGCCGGATGAAGCAGTACAAACAAGCGGCGGAGGAATTGCTTAAAGCGTTTGAAACCCATGAGATCACTCAGATCCCAATGGCCGAGAACGCCGAAGCCGACATCCTCTCCAAGCTCAGCTCGGACACCCCGGAGCACATCTCCCAGTTGGCCAAGATCGAGGAGTTGAGCATGTCCAGCATCCATGCCAGCCCCGTCTTGTGCATCCAACAGCGACCAGAGGACTGGATCTCCGACATCGCCACCTTCATCACAACGGGGGAGCTGCCCCCGGACGAAGAGAGGGCCAAACTTGCCAAACTCAGGGCCCCGAGCTACACCATAGAAGATGGCAAACTCTACAAACGGTCCTATAATGGCACTCTCCTCCGATGCCTGCACCAGGACGAGGCCGACACAGCCATGGAAGAAGTTTATTGCGGCGTCTGTTCCTCACACCAGGGCCCTTTCAGCATGTCCCGGCGTCTCGTCGTCCAGGGCTTCTTCTGGCCGACGATGGCACGCGACTGCGCTGATCTGGCCAGAAAGTGCACCACATGCCAGGTACTCCAGAAGGCCCCTGGTCGACCAGCTGTCAACTATGCCCCTGTCAGCACCGCAATTCCATTCTCCAGATGGGGGATTGACCTGGTCGGCCCCCTGCCCAGAGCCGCCGGGAATAACCGCTACATCATTGTCGCCGTCGACTACTTCACCAAGTGGGTCGAGGCGGAACCCTTGGCCAGCATCACGGGGGCCAGATGCCAAAAATTCGTTTACAAGAACATCATCACACGCTTTGGCGTCCCCCAGGAGATTATATCAGACAACGGCACCCAATTCGAGGCAGCCCCATTTCAAGAACTCCTCCGGGAGTTTGGGGTAAAACATCGTTTCTCCTCCGTTGCCTACCCTCAGGGCAATGGGCAGGTCGAGAACGCCAACAGAACAATCATGGAGGGGCTGAAGAAGAAACTCCAGGCCGCAGGAGGTAGTTGGGTCGACGAGCTCCCCAACATCCTGTGGTGCTACAGAACCACGCCGAGGAGGGCGACAGGTGAAACGCCTTTCGCCCTGTGCTACGGCTTTGAAGCAAAGGCGCCTACGGAAGTTGCCATCCCCAGCCGACGGGTGGAACAATATGAGCCTAACACCAACGAAGAGAACATGAAGATTGACCTACACCTGGTTGATGAGAGGCGTGAACAAGCTTACGTCCGAGCGGAGAACTACCGGCGTCAAGTAAAATCATACTATGACGCCAAGGTACGTTCCCGGGAATTTCAGGTGGGGGACTACGTCCTCCGCCGGAGGGAAGCAAGCCAGCCGACAGAGGGTGGCAAGCTAGCATTGAAGTACGAAGGGCCCTACATCGTCAGTGCCGTGGTCAAACCCGGCACCTACAAGCTTAAACGTCCGAATGGGTCCAATGTACGACGAACATGGAATGTACACCATCTGGTGAAGTTTTATCAGTAATCCGAAGGAGGTGTAGACGGCGAAGCCCTCACCCCTTAACGGGTTACTGATTGAACGCCACCCTCGGCCTCGAGCCACTTATGAATAAAATCATGTTCTGATTTTTTCTCTGGAAATTCAAAGTAAAACATTAGCAGGTGCCCTCGTCGGCCACCTTAGAGCGAAAGGCTCAGGCCTGGCCGACATGGCCCCTTGCATTTGCAGCCTACGAGCGACAAGCTCAGGCACTCCATTGTATTTTGTATCAGCGAAGGGCTCAGGCCTAGCTGAGAGAGCACATCGTCCTGGCCCCGTAAGCCTACAAGTGAAACACTCAGGTATGGCCGACGATGTCCCCAGGACGAGGGGCCCGCAAACGGCCCACGTCTTGAAACGGGAAGCTCACCGCGTCGTCCACGCGCCAGAACGCAGGACGACAGGCCTGAAATCATGGCCGAGGTGACAAAATCCCAAAACTCAGGGATGGGCAACGACAGCCGTTGGAAACTGACCAAAAGTCTAGCCCGCGTCATAAATAGGCGACGGGACACGCCCTGAGACCACGGACGTTATAAACGAAGTCCGAACCGGCCGAAGGACGAGCACACCCTTCGGCCGAAGCCTGAAAGAAGGATACCCCCCGAAACGAAAAAAAAAAACATACAAGGGAAAAAGAGGGAAGCCGACGGCCGTGCACACTTGCCGGCCTCCAGCAATGAAAAAATAACATCCCCACAAATCAGGCCCAATGTGGCCAAGTACATATCAGTTGAACACAAGTGTAGTACCACTGACAGGTAACATGGACGACACGTCCACACACTACAAGGGAATAATTAAGGCCGAAACACACGCCTACAAAACCCTAACCGCATCGGTTGGGTGACAAGCGAGAGGTGACTTTCATCGGCCATAGTCTTTTGAGGCACCAACGCTTGGCATGAAACAAGGCATCGCAATCCTGAGGATGACCAGGACGAAGCGGGCACTTATCACACCCGCGAAAGGATCAAGCAATCAAGAAACAACCTCTACTTGCCACAGCACCTCGGATGGCCGACGCAGGCACTGGAACCAAGGCCGTTGGTCGAGCGAAAGTTCTTTGGGAATTTGTTTAAGTGTTTCCCAAACACTTAGAAAAAATCCTGAGAAAAGAGGGTTCCTCGACAAGGAACCATGGCTAGCCGATGAAGGTAGGACCATCTCCTTGGACAAGCCATTCCTTATCCAGCACCCTCATCGGCCACAAGCCAGACCTTGGCCGGCAGCGGCACCACAAAGAAGTAAATGCCTAACATGTATACTTAGGAAATTATCTAAGTACTCAAACGAAGGAACTCTAGCCGAAGCGGGTACCAGTATACTACAAAGCCGTTAGCTACCTACACCTCTGCATGTGTACTTGGGAAAAATTCAAAGTCCACAAGACTATGGTGAAGGTGCCCTTATCGGCCACAACACAGGGATGCAGGCCGACAATGACACTGGTTCAATAATGGGGAGAGACTAAACCCCATGGATGTAGCGGACACCACGATCAAGGGCAAAAGGAAAGCACCTAAGTGAACCCAAAAACACTTAGGAAATTTTTGATAAAATCCTAAGTGTTATGATGACAGCAAAGGAGCACCGGTCAGGCCGACAAAGCCTCCAGGCCGGAAAGAAAGCAACTTCGTGGATCCAAAACACTTAGGAAATTTTTGAAAGAATCCTAAGTGTTATGATACTACATCAACACCGGTTAGGCCGACAAAGCCACCAGGCCGGAAAGGGAAGCAACTACAAGAATCCAAAACACTTGGAAATTTTTGGAAAAAATCCTAAGTGTTATGATAGTAAAGCAACGACAAACAAGCCGACCAGGCCACCGGACAGGGTGGGCTACCTCACGGACGTAGCAGACACTCACGAGTGACCCAAGTTATGACCTTGACACTTGGACAAATTTTAGAATTGAAATGACAAAAGGCAAACAAGCATACAAGGAATTGAAAGCCGATCAGGACAGCAAAAAACTTTTCATTCATAGTGAGTTCATTACAATTGGGGGCACTTCGGCCGTTACATCATTTGGCAAAAAATTGAAAAGCTAATTACAACAGGGAATAGCCGATCAAGCCTCCGGGGCACCTTCATCCGCGGCTGGCTCTTCAACCTCGTCGGCTCCCTCTTCGGCCTCGTCAATTCCCTCCTCGGCGGCGGCCGCAGCGCTAGTGGCATCGTCCAGGAAGTCAAATTCAGTGTAGTCCGGCTCACCGAGGCCGGAACTTTCAATTGGGGACTCCCGCTCCGACAAAGGAAGTTGGGCTTGCTCCTCTGGATCCTTCATCAGCTTTGGCAGCTTCAGGTTCCGTCTGGCCCACCCGGACGTGTAGTTCATGGCTTTCAATGCGCGGGATAGCCGACGACACAGGAGCCTTTGCATCCGCTGCTGGCCCATGTTGTAATAGACGGCCATCTCCCTGCTGAAGTACTCCTGGCCGGCGGGGGAGTTCATCCCCCAATCTTCAAGCCTGGCGGCAACCACTTCGTAGCACCAGGGAAGCCTCTCATCGGCCTTCCACCCCTCGGCCAGGAACTGCTTAACGGCCTCATCAGCAGCCCTCACGACGGCGGCCTCGGCCTCAGCTTTCGCCTTGACGGCCTCCTCGCTCTTGCGCCTCTCGGCCTCAAGCGCCCTTTGGGACTCCTCGAGCTCCCTTTTGCTCTCCTCGAGCTTGGCCAGGGCATCGTCCCTGGCTGCGGCGGCTTCATCAGCCCTTGCCTGCAACGCCTTGGCATCCTCCCGGAGCCGATCAAGGCAAGCTACCGCCTCGTCGGCCGAGGCAGCCTTCTGCTCCAGCTCTTTCAAGCGAGCTATCTCCCAATACTGCCTCTTATGGCTTTCCATAAGCATAAAGGCACTCTGCAGAAGGAAAACAAAGGTCAGGCAAAAGACTCTACACAGACGAAGATAAAGACAAAACATAAGGACAGTAACTTACTTGGACGAGGAGGTCCATGCCGCTCTCGTAAATCTTCACGTCCCCGAGCTTCTTCAAGTAAGCCCGATCTTTAGCCGGCATGGCCTGGGCCAGGACGACGTGGCCAGGGACGAGATCATTAAACACGCCCCCGCCGACGGGGTATTCTACCACCTTCTGGTAGGTGGCACCGGCAATCTCCTTGCCGGCCCTCTTCGTCCGCGGCTCCTGGACGAGAGGCAGTGATGGAACAACATTGTCAGCAGCAGTAAGGTCCACGACAGGACCACTATCGTCCACACTGGGGACAACCAGAGTACCGGCCTCAGTAGCCTGAGAAGGGGAAGGAGCCCTCTTCGTCTTCTTCGAGACGCTCAGGCCGGCCTCAGTTAACTTTTTCTGGCCGCCAGTGGCCGGCCTTTTCTTCTTCGATGGAGCAGGCTTTGGGGCCGCATCAGCAGTAGCCCCGCTCCCACCGGCCACGGCACGTCTGGCCGCCTCGGCCGCCTTAACAGCTAGCTCCTCGGCCGCTTTGGCCTTGGCAATAGCCATTATGGAACGACGATCCATTGCAAAGTCTACAAAGGAAAAACAAACAGATTAGTAAAACAAAGTAACAAGACATAAAGACAGAAAGCCGAAGAGGTAATTACCATCGGCCTCAGCAGGAATGCCCAAATCCGGGCCGTCGGCCTCCTCAAAGGTGGTGGTCATCCTCGGCCAGAGTTGGAGGTCATCCTCCTTGTCACCATAGACATGGTACCTCAAGAAGCCAATGGCGGTCATCTTGTACTCAGTAATGTACTCCTTCACGCTCCTCGGCCCCCCTTCCAAGAAAGCCTCCACCTGAGCATCCAAAATAAAGCTCTTCGGCGGGTCGTGCAGGTTAAACCTCCCGGTGTGGCCGAGGGAGGGAAACTCGGTACCACTCTCACCAATGGACACAAACACGAACTTGCTCTTCCACCCATGGATGGACGTAGGCAAATCCGTGAAGCTCCTCTTCTTCGGCAGCTGCTGCAGAGTAGCGTAGGCCGCACAGTTCTTGTGACTTCCTCGGCCGATCTGGTACAGATTCATGAATAGTGCCGTTGTCGGCTGGTAGCCCAACTCCTCACACCGGAGCAAGAACCCCACCATCAAGGAGTAGCTGTTCGGCGTCAGCAAGGCCGGAGGAAGCCCTACCATGTCCAGGTACTCAGTAATGAAAGGGTGAAGGGGGAACCTCAACCCCTTAGCAAAACTCATCGGGTATACTCCAAAGTATCCCGGTGGTGGCAGAAGAACATGGTCCGTCGGCCTGGGTGCCCTAACCCGCCCGAACGGCCCCACGTACATCTGGGCAACAAGATAGTCGGCCGCACTGCTCTCCGGCTTGATCAGGTAGATGTTGGTGAGATCCAGATAGGAGATGCCGGGCCCACTCTTCGGCCTCCTCACTCTCTTCGGCTTTGCTGCTCCCTTCACGGCAGACACCGGCCTCGGGCACAGAATGACAACAGAAGTGGACGCCCCGTCCACCACTCGGGACACACCTACGTCCTCACCCTTTGAAGAGGAGGCGGACTCCCCGTCCTCACCTTCCTCGTCCACCGGCTCTCCGGATTTGTAGGGACTTAAACGCTCTATCTCCTCTTCAAACTCCTCGAGCACCTCGTAGTCAAGCGACCTCGTGGAGGGCTGGTCGTCGTAGGGGTAGTAGTCGTCGTTCAAGCTCTTCATAACTACTACTACGGGCCTAAGGAGACTAACTTAAGATCTAAGGGTGTTCAAACGCCTAACACTAGATCAACAACCTAGGAAGCAAAGTATGAAAAGTGAGGAAGATCGCGATGAACACTAACCTTGAACAACGAAGAACACGAAGAACAGGCTTGGGAGTTTATCTCTCTAGAAAATCGGCCAGCACTTCGACAAATTCAGAATGCAAATACGTTTTCTTGTCGGAGGGGGAGGGGTATTTATAGAACCCACCACCCAACGGTCACTACACGTGGCAGCCCCCAATGGCCACACCAACGGCCACCAATGGAGGACCACCACGTCACCAACGGGCCAAACTCAATATCAACAGCCCACTGGCGAGACGGACTCTACGGCCTACACACGCTCACCGGCTTTACAAATGCCAGCAAGCGCCCACAACGTCCCACTCGCTCGCCAAGATCACAACGGCCAAACAATAAGGAGACGGCAACGGCCAGGAACGTAACGGCCACAAGATCAAAGGACCCAAGAGCCCAAAAGCCATCGACTCCTCGTAATAACCCTTGATGATAACCCTCTACAAGCGATTTGCGCACAAGGGTTCTCCCACAGGGTTACCTTGGCCAGAAAATCGCCATGAGGGTTGGATTCAGGGGGACTACGACGAGACCGCTTCGGCCGGGGACTCAAGCAACTCCTTCACCCCTCACACTCTTCGGCCTGAAGCAGTGGGGGACTGGGGGACTACACCGGCCTCAACAAAACGAAAGAAAATGCAAACAAGGTAACCACAGAGAATGGCCACATCGGCCACGCATCACGCTGCACCTCGTCGGTATGCACGCAACGTCATCTGCAACGGCCAACGAGTTACCAAAGGCAAGGACACTCATCGTCCTCCGCCATCACTTAATCACGAGGGGCCCTTCGGCCAGAAACATGAAAGCTAATCAACGACGGCCAAAAGGAGTGCACAAACACCCTCATCGGCCACCCAAAGGAAAGGACGCCATCGTCCTCCAAGCAAGGAATAACTTCAGTGGCCTCATCGGCCCAAATACAAACTTCAACCATCAGCGCCCAAGCAAAACATGCCTTCAACGGCCACCATTGAATGAAGGACACTCATCGTCCCAAAACGAAGACATCGGGTGAACAACGGCCTCCCTGTCCACAACAAGGAACAGGTAACGGCCAAGGGCGGCAAAACACAGAAATCTACTCTCCTTCACTTCGTCTACGTCTCAGCTTAGAGAGTGGGGGACTCCTGATGGAGTATATGGGTCCAAGCCCCCGAACCCACATACTCGGAAGAACAGAAAGCACAAGACAACAGAGTGGCGCCCTCGTCGGCCAAGACGCCCCCGTCGGCCGAAAAGGGGCCAACTCAGATTATGGTCCTGAGTCCAAGGAACTCGGGTGCCCTCGTCGGCCGTGCCCTCGTCGGCCACGCCCTCGTCGGCCACGAAGACCTCACAGAATCGGATTTTATACTTGCTCATTTGTACAACCCATTAGTGGCTTTGTATTCGGCCCAGTAGCGGTCCAGTTGTAAATGGGCCTCCCAAGCCCAAGGCTTGGGAGCCCAACCCTAATTTTCTCTATAAATACTCCCCTTGGGAGTAGTTATAGGGGTGACAAAATCATTCTATTGAAGCATATATTGCACTTCTCTCTCTAGCTCTCACTTCTCTCTAGATATACTCTATCAATGTGTATTGACAATGCTTTGATCCGCCGAGTGCTGGTCGATACTGGGAGCAGTGTGAATGTATTGTATCTACAATCATTCGAGAAAATGGGTCTACAAAGGAGCCAACTGACCCACCTACGGACCCCGCTGGCAAGTTTCACCGGTAACTGCATCGAAGCTGAGGGGACCATCCAACTGATGGTTGAAATTGGGGATGAAACCCACAAAGCGTCACTCCGAATGACGTTCGTGGTGGTAGATATAAAGTGTGCCCACAATGCCATATTGGGCCGACCGGGATTGGAAGATCTGGAGGCAATAGCCTCTGTCCGCCACTCATGCATCAAATTCCCTACAGACACTGGGATGGGAGTGTCCAGAACTGATCCAACGACAGCCCGGACATGTTATCGGGAGGCCCTAAAACAGATGAACATTCGTGGGATGCGGGTTAATACCATTGAAGTAGAAACCCATCGAACGGAGCTCGAGGCACACCCAGAGCCTGCCACTCTGCTTGAACAAATCGACCTCGATTTCCCCCCGAACCGTAAGGTGGCTATCGGGGTAGACCTGGAGGCTGATATCCGGGATGGCGTGATCGCCGTCCTCAAAAAGTTTCAGGTGCTGTTTGCCCGGGGGCCAGAAGATATGTCCAACATTGATCCGGAGATAATATGTCACAAACTTGTCGTTCGGTCTGATGCAAAACCAGTCCAACAGAAGAAACGGTATCAAGCAACCGAACGGCGGGAATTCACAAAGAAGGAGGTGGCCACCTTGCTGAGAATAAAGCACACCCGTCCGGTAATCCACGTAGAATGGCTATCCAATGTGGTTCTAGCCCCAAAACAATCTACTTGGAGAATGTGCGTGGATTACTCTGACCTGAATAAAGCGTGCCCCATGGATCCCTATCCAGTGCCGAGGATCGATCTGCTAGTAGATGAAACTGCCGGATGTGAATTACTGAGCTTCATGGATGCTTTCCGGGGTTATCATCAGATATTCATGCACCCGGCCGATGCAGAAAAAACGGCGTTCGTTACTTCGGATGGCGTGTTTTGCTATATCGTCATGCCATTCGGATTAAAGAACGCAATGGCAACTTTCCAGAGGATGATCGGGATGTTGTTCAAAGAAGTGATGGGTGTCACAATGGAAACCTATGTTGATGACATCCTGATCAAAAGCAAAAAGAAGGAAAACCATGTCCTGGATATAGAAAAGGTGTTCGGGATAATGCAAAAAGCAAATATGAGGCTGAATCCCAAGAAATGTGCTTTTGCTGTAAGAGGAGGCAAATTTTTGGGGTACATGATGAGCGAGAAGGGGATTGAGCCCAATCCAGAAAAAGTAAAGGCAATTGTGGACATGGAGGCTCTAAGAAATCTCAAAGAAGTGCAGAGATTGACCGGTCGGTTAGCAGCCCTGAGCAGATTCCTATCCAAACTGGCCGATCGAGCTATACCGTTCTTCCAGATCATGAAGAAAGCCAACCCTTTTGAATGGACGGCCGAATGCCAAACGGCCTTTGAAGATTTCAAAACGTATCTGTCTTCCCCTCTGGTCTTGACAAAACCCGAACCAGGGGAGCACCTGTATATGTACCTAGCTGTAGCTGACCTGGCCGTGAGCACAGTACTGTTGAAAGAAGAAGATGGCGTTCAACGGCCAATCTATTTTGTAAGCAAGGCATTGAACGGCCCGGAAACCAGGTACACCTTGCTAGAGAAAAATGTACTGGCCCTGATAGCTGCCATTAAACGTCTGGCCCCGTATTTCCAGACCCACCCGGTAACTGTGTATACTACTCAGCCACTGGCCACCATCTTGAGAAATCCTATGGCAAGTGGACGCATTACCAAGTGGAGTCTCCTGATCGGGCAATACGAGGTGGATTTCAAACCTCGACCTACTATCAAAGGGCAGGCCCTGGCAGACTTCATTGCGGAATGTACCGCCCGGCCCTCAGAAACAGATTCAGATAACTGGTGGGAAATGTATGTGGATGGTGCAGCTAGTGCCAAGGGTTGCGGAGCTGGAGCTGTGATTACATCGCCCGAGGGGTTCAAAGCATATTATTCTATCCATTTTGACTTCAAGGTAACCAACAATGAGGCTCAATATGAGGCTCTCATTGCTGGTTTAAAATATGCAAATGCCCTGGGTGCCGATCGGTTAAAAGTCCGGTCAGATAGTCAATTGGTAGTACACCAAGTAAACGGCACTGCTGAGGCCAAAGAAGAGAGAATGAAGGCATACAAGGAGATAGTTGAGGAGCAGATAAGAAAATTTGAACAGGTGGTCCTCGACCAAATATCCAGGATTGAAAATACTGAAGCAGATATCCTGTCCAAGTTAGAGAATGCAGCGTTCGACGATCGGGCACAAGAGATCCCGGCTCATATCCAACGTTTTGCCCATCGGGAAACATTGGCGACCCCAGCAATCATGGTGCTCCAGATCGAGGCCATATCTTATGCCGTCCCGAGCTGGGTCGTTGATATGACCAACTACCTGAAAGACGGAACCCTCCCACAAGATAAAAATCCTGCTTATCAAATAAAATGCATCCAGAGGAGGGCTTCCATGTTCGAATTGGTAGATGGGCAGCTGTACAAAAAGACATTCGGTGGGCCATATCTGAAATGCCTCTCACCTGATCT